GCTGGGGATTTGAACCCGCCACCTTAGGTGTATGTGGCTGGTGCCTTAGCCGCTTGAGCCACAGGCGCCGAGCCCATTCTTCCTTTCTAGGAGGAATCTACTTCCATCACAGCATCCTCAATATCTGGGACATATTTTGCCCTTGGGAAATATTTGCTGAAGTAATGAATTAACATTTTGACAGAAGAGGAACTCTGAGGCTCCCTGAAATTAAATGACTTGTGTAAGCTCTCATAGCTAAGGAACCATGATGATATGACAATTCTACCTCTAACTATTAAGGGCTCCTTCCCTTCTACCATGTTAGTTTCCAGGTTCACATACAACATTGAGGTTGTTTATGAGAAAATAAGAAGAGAATAATCTGCCAATTGGAATTTCAATATTCTGGGTTTGGAGAACTCTTTCAGCCTGGGCAGCATGCTGGAATATCAGGTATTCTTGGGCATTCCCTAATAGGCACATTCTGCAGAGCTCTGCTGGTGACTGGCTACCTTTAACTCTCTAAGGAGGCTGTCAGTACCAAGAAACAGGCATGAGAGCAGCTGAGACTTGAATTCCAAAGATTGCTGGTTTCGAATGGACATTAAGCCTTGTTCTCACAGGGGTGCCATGTTGGATCCTTGGTTGGAAGTGAGCCTACCCCCAGGTTACTGGACAGCTCTGATTGGCTATGCTCCTCTTTGGTGTTCTTGAATTGATTCATTTGGAAACCTCTGGCTGTTAAGTCAAGTGAGTAGCTTATGTTTGTGCGTAGTACTCAATGTCTTACTACCTCCGTATTATTACTTGAAAAGACCTCTTTGTTTTTTTTTTCCCCAGAGAGAGATACTTCCTTTGTTGGCTTTTTTCTTCCTTCATTGACTCTGGTTTGTTGACACCACTGAGGCTAAGGAAGCCATGAACTGCCATTCTTTGGAGTACAGTCACAGATAATTCAGATAATTTAATTCAATTCATATTTGTTGAGTACCTACTAAGTACATCAAGACCTTCTCTCTTTTTTAGATAGTGCTGCCCAATGAATAGTAAAAAGATTTGCCAGCTATCTGGCTAAGAGATTCAAACTTGAACCTTAGGAATAAAGTCAAGGAATTTATTTTTTGTGGGGGAACTGGATGAGTACAGGAGAGGTACTATGTGGCACGACAAATTAAGTGTCTCAAAGGAAATTCAAAGACAAAGTTCAAAGACCAAGGACCTATTAATCCCCACATAGAATCTAAGGAAGGCTTTGAGGAGTGGGCAATTTTAGTTGGTGTCTGCAGGGTGGATAGGACATTTATAAGGCAGTAGAGATAGGAAAGAAAAGGGGATTCCAGGCTGCACAAGAAAGCACAGCTGACTCGGGGAAAGAATCCAAACAAGGTGGCCCAGGCTCTGGCCCAGCTCTGTAGGGTCCACTCTCCCAGCCTCAGGTGGCAACAGTCAAAAAGCTCATGCAAAGATACCCTCTCCCCCAGGCCTTCCCTGGCCTGCTCTTGTGTGTGTTGGTGGCATTCCAGGGAGCAGCCTCAGGACAGGCAGACATTCCTCAAGGTTGCGGATCCCAGGAGGAGAGCGGCTACAGGGATATTTTCTCTCCCTCCACATCTTATAACCTGTTATAACTTTGGGTGGGGGTGACAGATGACAGACTGGGCCCAAAGACCTTCAGCAGATGGTTTTCTTTTTTTTTTTTTTTGAGACAGAGCCTCAAGCTGTCCCCCTGGGTAGAGTACCGTGGCATTACAGCTCACAGCAACCTCCAACTCCTGG